GTTTTGTTACTCGTTTGGTAACCTTTAAATTAAAGTAAACAAATATCGATTTACCGATTCGTTAAAATAAGCTAAGTAAGAGGTAACTGCTAGACGTAACACTAAACCCCCTAAAGCTCTCACCTACCATGGGGTCAGGTCAGGTTTTCAGGAGTAAAAACTATCGCACATGTTGACTCTGAACATGCCAAATCACTAGCCAAGTTTCATTAAAATCAGTTTTTGCATGATTTCGTAACATACTGACAGACAGACAGACAAAAATTACAGAAAATTATTTATTCTATATCTTTCTATACCTAATTTTATGATAAGTAAAGATAGATTGGTGGTTTATAATCCACTGATTTCAATTGACACTGTGATAAGATTTTTTCATTTACAGAAGAAGTTTTCGTTGTGAAAAGTTATTTAAAAAGACTTCAGGATTTTGTGTTTTTCTACTAACATAAATGTACTAATGTTGTATTTGCTGTTTAATTTTTATTTATTTATATTTCTATAGAGCAAAACCCGCCGTTGTCATTCAAAGATTACATAAAATGTAGGTACTTAGTCTTATATGGCTAAGTGCTTACATTTTTTATGTGTTTCGTGAGTCTTTACAAATCAATATATATTAGGGTTAAAGTAAAAAATTGATGAAAAAGATGTAACTTATTTATTCAATCAAAATATTTACCCTCATTATCTACATAGAGCTGCCATCTAAACGGAAGTTCATTTATGCCGTTACGATAGAACTCTGGGGATCTAGATTCTGTAGACTGTGTGAAATTATTTTGTACTGCCTCTAGTTTTTTATTGCGTAGAAAATTGTCCAAATCACGTAAAAACGGTAGTCCGTTGGAGCAAGGTCTGACAAGTACGGAGGATGACGTATGGTTTCTAACTGCAGCTCCTGTAGAGTTACAACGGTTCCTCGTTCAGTGTGAGGTCTTGCGTTATCATGGAGCAATAATGGTAAAGATCGATTCACGAGTCGGAGCTGTTTCACCGCTAGTTCCGCCATCATTGTTCGACAGTAAAACAATAAAAAAAAACTAGAAAGAAACACAAAAAACACTAGCCCACACCACATTTTTTAGTTGAGAAATAGCCTGCGCTAATTAATCCCAAGCATTTTTGTCTTCTATGTAATTCACAATTGAGTAGTAGGCCCTTTGGCACAAGCCACGTTTTATTGCAGATTTAAATTTGTTGATTTTATTATACAATCGGACACATTGACCTCATAAAGACTCGTTTATCTTTTGAAGCCCAGAGGCGGGTACTACAAGTTTATCTCTATTTCTGGTATTTATAGAATGTACATCACTGTCTAAATGCAGCGTTGATATTGCGAGGCGTTTCTGCCGTGTTAGTTTCGAGTCACAACTCGTATTTAAAAATGACTCGGATTTTCAAAGCATCCATCTTTCACGTCTAAGCTGAATAAAAAAAGAATTGAAAGTTGTAAATCGAATGCTGAACATTTTTAAAAGAATAACCTCATAGGTATCATCAAAATCTCACACCATCAAGTTTTATGTCAATACAAAGTATCTAATAATACAAAGGCAATTTAATACTTTAACTACTATTATTTGATAAAATATAAATTGTTGCTATTGTGTGTGTTGTGTGTGTTAACCTTAGAGTCTGCATAAAAGACGATTTCAAACAATTTTATGTTTTAAACATTTTTGAGTTTTAGTTTTGAGTCAATTTTACTAGAAGTATTCCTCCACAACGAGTTAATGTGGACAGATGCCCCGGCAGGTTTGATACCTAACCTTCAGAAACCCTGCTACCTGGACATCGACTGCAATGGCCATCATGGAGATCATCAGGTTGGAAGTTGGTGTGTGGTATTTTTTTAGCAAGGTTCATTAGCAAACGAAATTACTAGTATTTCCGTTAACCCCTCCAACTAAGCTAAATTGCTTGTGTTTGGAGTGGGTTCACGTCGGTAGTGTAATGGTCAGGATTCGAATCCACGACCTCTTGATCTCAAGTCCAATGCCTTAACCACTAGGCTACCGCCGGCTACATTATTACAAAAATATTAAAAAGAAGTAAGGTCCTGATTCTGGTCCTCATCGACACTTCAAAAGCAGCCGCGTGAATATTTTGATAAGTACCTGTTCATAATATTCTTTTTTTTCTTCTCTCTTCTTCTTCTTGTACTCTTAAACTTGCCTACATGAAACTCTCTTCACCACATTTTCCTCATCAAACTCATGCTCTTACCACAATAATCTGTTGTTCTTTTTTTTAGATACCGCAGATAATAAATATTTCAAACTTAGCTACGGAACTCAAAAAGCAATCAACTGATAGCAAATGTATTGCACACACTGTTAGCATACTGTTTAGGTATATTACACTAAATAAAAGTGATAAATACTAGATTAAAATTAGTTGCTGTTTGGGTGTTGAAGTAAGTAGATGTTTGACAATATTTTTTCAACTTGTTCGTAAATGTCGCTGGTCATGATAATCTTTGTGCCTTTATCAGTACTTTTATCAGATGTACCTGGAATTTTTTACTTTTTTGACTTCATAAAGCTTGCTTTAGAAGTTTGAGAACAAAACATTTGGGCTCATTAGTAAGAAAGAAACAGTATATATCGGTTTTTTCGTTTATCACGCTGTTCACCTAACTAATCTTCTTTTTTTTTGAGACTAGACATAGAAAGCAGTTTTATTAAGGTTACTATTATTCTGAGGGTGTGATATGTTAATTGAATTGTAGGCCATTATTTCCTTTCTACGTTATTTTCTTATTGTTAACGATTTAAAACTAAAAACATGTTGTTTATTAGTAAACAAATAAATAGTTTTATTTCTATACTTGTTGATTTTACCGACGGCAGTGTCTTTTGTCAGTTAATTATCCTCCTAATATGCAATGACGATTCCGGGTTCGATTTTATGGCAAATTACATAATTTGTTCCGTTCAGCGATTCTAGTGCTATTGTGTTACAAATACTAAAGCGTCAGTCTTCACACACTTTTACGTTTATAATATGAATAATGAAAAAAATAGGACTTCTATTTATGCCAAGTAATCTAACAAAGAACTCCTGAGGGTTTAATTAATTCAAAGAGTCTAAATATAAAATCTAAATAGACGTCTTTTACTCACCAATTATATTCGTTGTCACTTGACCTAAATAAAATCATATTTGTGTGACGTACAAACATTACTATCTCGCGACTTTCTTTAGAGAAAATAAGATAAGTAAGTAAGTAATAAGATAAGACTATCATATTATTATGAAATCGCTGGAAAATGCAATTTCATTTAAAAGTAGTTTTTGATACCTCGCTCCTTAAAATACCAACAAACTATTTTTTTTTCATGTGAAAATCCCCTCTGGCCGTCATCCCACCAGATTTTTCAGTAGGGTATGTGGGAACCCGGCTAGCTCAGAGGCCGGGGTGGCCGTGAAACGAGCTTCGGAGCGCGCGTGCCCAAAAGGGGAGAGAGGAGCACCAAGGAAACATGGGGGTTCCCACACAGGAGGGGGTCATCTACCCGCCGTAGATGCCGCGAGGTACGTCGGGGTACCAGGGATTTCCTTTATAGGGTACATCTGGTTCCCCGGCTACTGGTACCCGAGACGGCGTAAGGTTTTAAGTCGGTTCGAGTCCGACATAGCCACCAGTAGGTGGTATCCGAGGGGATTTCCGCACAGGAAAAAAAAGGGTAGTATATGGGTATCGAATCGACTAAAACAACACGACGTACCCTACTGAGAATAAATTGGAGGGATCTATGGCACTATAGAAGAAGCGGAACCACGTCCCCGTGTTCCAGGATGCGTCTAAATAGTAGTCTTCACCCGAAGATACTGGCTGCACTTGCCCGGATCCTTCCTATTTGTGACGCATCCTGTATTATTTTAGTCGGTTCCGCGATATTACACCCCACACCACACGCAAAAAAATTACCTACTTTTCAAAGGTTTTGAATCCGCCAAATAATATTGATAAGTTTCACAGTGGTAAGTAAGCTTGAAATTTACAATAAGGCAATTTTGCGTTCGACAGGCAAGTCCGTGGATTTACGGCATTGGTTAAGATGCTGAAACACATGCAGTGCTTGCTTTAATAGTCACATAACAGTGATCGACTACGAAACTTAGATAGATTAAACTGGTTTAGATAACTGCCCTTTTTATTGAATTGTATTGTGTCTATGAGCCTCCGATTTCTCGTGATACGGTTGTGCTCATGACTAGGCTTAATAAAAGGAAAAGGAGATTCACGATAGTTTTATTAATAATTTTATAAACTTTAATAGTTTTATAAACTGTAGCATAACATTTAAGGCTAGTAACGTTTCAAAGTATTTTAGTTAAGTTTGCATTGAACTTGCTTGCAAAGAACAAATACGTCTTTTTATCGAACTTGACTAAGACTTAGTTAACTAAGTTACTAAGTCCCTCATTCAAGACTAGCGATATCCATTACTCTAGTTCTCTTGCCTTATTTCTTCACCTCATTCTTCCATTATCTAGTCTGAAATCGATCATATCACCCAGGCGACCGGCCAAAGATGAAATCTGCCAAAACTTTTTGTGGTGTTCCAAATGGCGCCGACCTCATGTAAATTGGAAAAAGGGCTAAAAATAATGATGATCTTAGTCATTACGATATAAAGTAAGATTGAATCAGGGCACGTTGTTGAATGGTATTTACAAACGGCTATGCAACGTTAGTTTACTATTGAGCGATCTTGAAAGGTTGCTAAAATCTTTCGTCAACTCAAATGTTCTGTCCCTGTGTTCTAGACAATGTAATTGATTCATAGTGGAACTGTCGAGTTGTAGGTGTCAATAGGCGGTGATATTCACTTACCATTAGGTATGTTTTTTTTTATAAAAACAAGACAACAACAACGTAACAAAAAGTTAAAAAAAAAGGCAAAATAAAAATTCTTAATGAAAAAGTTTCTCGCAAAGAACTAATTGTACAATATTTCCTCTGTTCTTCTATCTAGAAATAAATAATGAAAGTAGTTCGAGTTACTGAAGGTTTGCTAGAAGGTGAGGAGATACAGAACGAGTACGGAGGCACGTACTTCAGTTTCAAAGGGATCCCGTACGCTCAACCGCCAGTTGGAGATCTCAGGTTTAAGGTATTAACTTAATGTTATCTTTTGTTGGTTAAATAAAGTATTTACTTTAAGAAATGGCACGTAGTTCTTATGCTCATTAATCATCATCAACAGCCTTTAACAGTCGACTGCTGGATATAGGCCTCTCCTTAGGAAGGAGGTTTTGGCCTACTACTGACGGACGGACGGATTAAGAATCCGGAATGTCACCACCCCTATTCATCCTGTGGGTATCGTAAGAGACGACTAAGGGAGCAAATTAAGCAGGACAACAGCACTGCAAAGAGAAGGAAAACTTGAAACAAACCCTGTACCAACCCGTCTGGCCAGCGAGGTATAGTAGGGAAAAACCTCCTTTCTAAGGAGCCTATGTCCAGCAGTGGACTGTTATGGGCTGTTGATGTGATATTTGCTTTTCGAGGGCTTTGCAGTGCTGTTGCACTCCCTTGGTCGGCTCTTAGGACACCCACGGTATGAAAAGGGGTGGTGACATTCCGTATTTTTAATCCGTCACCACACGGAGGTCTTCTGTTATTTAGAAGATACTTGCAGTTACGTCAAAAATTGTGTTCTAACCTTTTGGAGATAGTCATGACTGTTTTGCCAGCCGAAACTAACTAACTATACACTCACTCATTGTACTAATAGGAAATTATACGGGAATTATAAAATAAAAATCATGAATGCAAATAACATTACAATTTTTATTGATGTTTAGTTGGTAGTCTCATTAAATGAGACCACCAAAAATACTGTTAATTAGATCTCAATCAAGTTAACAATTTCATATTTTTTTAAATTCTAGGCACCACAATCGGTACAACCTTGGACTGGCGTACGTAGTGCCAAAAAGTTTGGACCCAAATGTTGTCAATTTGACTCATTAAACCCTAACCAAGACAATTTGAGTGAAGACTGCTTGTATCTCAATGTTAACACACCAGAATTAAAACCGGACAACCTTCTTCCAGTCATGGTCTGGATACATGGGGGAGCATTCGTTTGTGAAAGTGGCGATGACGATTATTATGGTCCCGAGTTTCTGGTAAGAGAAGGCGTAGTTCTCGTCACCCTTAATTACAGACTTGGAGCATTTGGTTTTCTATGTTTCCATACCCCTGACATACCTGGTAATGCTGGAATGAAAGATCAGGTTGCAGCTATGAGATGGGTAAAAACGAATATCCATAATTTCGGTGGAGATCCTGATAATATTACGATATTTGGTGAGAGCGCCGGCGCTGGTAGTGTTGGTTACCATTTAATTTCACCTATGACACGAGGACTTTTCCATCGAGCTATTGTTCAGAGTGGAGCGGCCAGTTGTTGGTGGGCTCAAGACTTTGCATCTCGTGACAGAACACTTCTGATGGCTAAACAATTGGGTTGCTTCTCAGAAGAGGACACAGAAGTAGAAGATTTTTTGAAAAAGCAACCAGCTACAGCATTGATCACTTCAAAGTTACAAATATTGAAATCCCAGAAGGTATACGAACTCCCTTTTGGAATAGCTGATGAAAAAGATTTCGGACAAGAAAGATTTTTTTACGGTGATGTGACCGAAGCATTACGAAACGGTGTGCACGAAGGAGTAGAAATAATGACAGGTTACACAAAAGACGAGGGTATAGTGGCATTAGCTTTCGGATGTCCCCTACCAAATATGATAAATGAAGCCAAATATTTTAACGAATTTTTTGTGCCGATATGGATAAGCACTCACTGTGTTATAGCAGACCAACTACAGGTTGGAAACAAAATCCGTCAGTTTTACTTCAAGGGTGGAGACGTGACGGAGGAAGGTATTTTGAGGTTTTTAAACATGCAGTTCTTTTCTTACGGTACCATTCTTGCCGGAAACTTTTATTCGATAAAGAACAAAGTGTACTTTTATAAGTTTACTTGCATGTCAGACCGGAATATTTATACATCTGCAATGGGTGTAGAAGAATTTCTTCAAAATAAGTCAGTTGTCAGTCACGGAGATGACTTAGCTTACCTTTTCCCTATTAAACACTTGTCCAGCAAAGTTGACCAAGAATCTGAAAGCTTTCAATTAATAAGTACTGTTACTAAATTATGGACAAATTTCGCAAAATATGGGTGAGTTTACATTTGTAAATTAATTTCTTTATTTTGTTTGTTGTGTATATTACGAAATCTAATCAGAAGCTTATGTTTACTGGAGAAACCACCGTCGACAAAATTGATCTCTTGGCACGGAGTGGATACATCCATAAACCTTTAGGCTATGTTTAAAAATTGGCCTTACATTTGAAGCCCTTAGTTATTAGTTAGTAGCGAAAATGGAATAGAAAGTTCCCCAAAAACTACGAAAATTAGTGAGCTTTTTACAAGATTTTAATAGAAAGTTATTTTTTTCTGAATATATCTATGTAATAGGCCATTAAATAAAAGTATGGTGTAAACACTTTCTAGTTAGAATATTACAAAACAGTACAAGCAATGTAGCAGTTTATGTCATTAATTAATACAGTCCGTGTCGTGACGGAATAAGAATAAGGAATGTCACCCCTATTCATTCCGTGGGTGTCGTAAGACAGCACTACAATAAGAAGCAAAACTTGACACAAATCCCATACCAGCCCGTTTGGCCAGCATGAAATAGTAGGCCAAAACCTCCTTTCTGAGGAGAGGCCTGTGTCCAGCAGTGGACTGCTAAAAGTTGTTGATGATGATGAACTAATTAATATCAATTATATTTATTACTTAAATAACTCAGCATATCTTGGCGATACCCATATAATAATTGTATTGTAAACCTCTAGATATTATTCATAAATGGAGGGAATTAGAATTCCGATCCAATTTGAATGAATCCTATGTACTACTTTTGACTCTGATTTTTACTACTAAATGTTTAATTAACCCATTTTTTTATTATTGTTTCTAAGTAGTTTTCTATAATTGATATCTTAATTCAAGGAAAATTTGATTTCAGGAACCCAACGCCGGATAAAAGTCTGGGAGTAGAGTGGAAGCCTTATACTCTACAAAACCAAGAATATTTGGATTTAGGCAACAAGCTAGTTATGGATACTATACCTGAAAAAGAGGAATTAGAATTTTGGGACAGCATTTTCAAAGAATATTTACCAAAATACTTAGTTTGATTTGCATGTAATAATAAAAAACTAGAACGATTCTTTCATATCAAGACCTCACTGAACGCCTAAATGGTACTGACATAGTTTGTGTTGACCATACATCCTTGGGCTTCTTTTAAAGTTTTTTCTTAAGGATAGACATAACTTTTAAGTATAAATTGACTTTAATATGTTTGAAAAAATGTTTTTAAAAAAATAGTTTATCAGTTCGGTTATCGGTTATCGTTTAGCAGAGTTTGTTTGTCACTTGGTTTAAGGTTTGTCATTAATATTGTAATTATTACCAATATCATCATTTCATCACTTTGGCAATAAAATTCTAAGCTACATGTATGTGCGTTAATTATTTATTTATTTAAGGATCTTCAACAAGAATATCACATAGCATTCACAGAGAATAATAAATTATTGATCTGGTGTATTCTTAATTACAGAAGATCACAGCCTGCATTAAGAGTCAAACATAACATTTTGAATCAGAAATTACTATTACACAAATTAGAAGTAAATAAATTAATGAAAATTGATTAAATTAAATTACTGTTAAATTCATTAAGTCAATACAAACAATAATAACATTGCAAAAGTTAACTACTGATAATATGGTTAATAATTAAATAGTCAACAATATAAGATTATATACAGTTACATTGATAATATATCATCAATCATCATCATCAACAGCCTATACTAGTCCACTGCTGGACATAGGCCTCTCCTTAGAAAGGAGGTTTTGGCCTACTATGATGATAATGATAATATATAATTTAAATCAAATAAATTTATATTAAATTGATGTCAGCTGTTTATTGATAAGGAATTTAAAATGTCCTATAGTATTACTGAAGATGTCTATATCATTAGATCTATTTGAAACTTCATTAAAGTGGTTAGTCATTCTAATTATTGGAGAGTGTTTACCAAGATTTGTGCGATTTATTATTGTTTTCAATCGTCAAGCATTTCTACGAAACAGGACCATGTTTGAGTGTCTTGGTTTCATTTGGTTTGATTTATCGGTTGACAGTCGATATGCTGAACTTTAAAAAAAATAGATTTGTTTTGTTACTCGTTTGGTAACCTTAAAATTAAAGTAAACAAATATCGATTTACCGATTCGTTAAAATAAGCTAAGTAAGAGGTAACTGCTAGACAGAGAAAGTTAGTAAATTCTGTGCCTAATTAGTAGTGTACTGGTATTATATTTATTATGCTCTAAAAATACATTTCTATCTCCAAAAATATACTGATATCAGTATAATCGATTATATCATTTAATGTAGGATAACCTTCAAGCCACCTCATGTACGGACGTCGTACGTAATATATATAATCGTACGGACTCATTAGAACGTTTCAAGGATATTGTAGCAGTTGACTACATACAGTTTGCAATAAAAAAATTGCAATTCTAATTTAACGGTTGATATGTAAAAAAGGAGATGTTAGTACTGTGGTATAAGTTCTTCAAAAACCTATTTATAAGTGTAACTAAGTGGCATTAATTGAAGATATTAAAACCGTTTAAAATAATTTACATTAATTACAAAAAAATACGATACCTATCATCTACCTATCATCTATACCTAGGGAAAATCGTTAGATACTTTGTAAATACGAATTTACTAATTATGGTCCAGCCAAATATAAATTAAATAGTACCTAAATATAAGTTTTCATGTTTTTTTTATTTTGTTTTTGTATTTTTTTTTTATTGTAATTCACAAAACTGATGTACAATCTCACGCACATATATACATTATGGTAAAATGTTTACAATATTCATCCGATTGACATCTACTAGGTGTGAATTTTACATGCATTAAAACTAAAGCTAAAACAAGGTAGTTGCTAGATAAAAGACACATCTACTACTTAATATTTAAAATTATACAACATTAAAATTATAATATTAAATCATTCGATCAACTTTCTTAGTTTGGACCTGACTGAAACCACAGAACCAGCAAAAATATCCAGTCCGTTATGGAGGGAGTTGGCGAAACAAGGCATACGAGTCATGGGCGAGGAATGACCTATGTTGGTGCGGTAGTGGGGTACAACAAACGTAGATCTGTTGACTAAACGACTACCAACTCGAGGAATGCAAATGCTGACCATTCCTAACAGCTCGGGAGAGTCAACTTGACCATGGATTAACTTATATAAAAACAATACATCTAAGACCTTCCTACGTGAACTTAATTTCGTCATGTTGTAGTGATGCTATTAAAGGCAATCATACCAAGATTGTACAAAGATTCACAAAAGTTTTTTCTCGTATTGACAAAAATAAGAACAAAAATTTCGTTATCAGAAAAAAACTTTTGATCTTCGAATCGTATATTTAACAACCTCAAAGTCAAACTAAGTTAATTCATTACGTTATTTAAATTAATCTGTCCTGCTAATTTTACTTAATTAAAATTGTAGCGGTGAGATTGTGAACTTCTTACATTGTATGGTTTACTTTTTTATTTTTTGAAAGTTTTATTTATTTTTGCTGTAAAATCTTGCTTTTTGCCAAATTTCGTGATTTTAGATCAACGGGAACTACCACATAGGTTTTCGACTCAAAACCTATAGGGTACTTCCGCTTGACCTAGAATTGTCAATTTTGGTTAAAAGCAAGGTCTTACAGCACAAGTAAACGGAAAATTCCGAAAAAACAGTTCAAAATTAAGTTAAATTTTAGTACTTACAAGTTTTTCAGAAAACCAAAATTGACCATTTCTTTTTATTGTGCTGACTCAGAACCTTGAATTTTTTATACCTAATAGGGACTATAAACCTCAGTATCTGGTATGAATTTCAATTTGCTAGGTCCACCCGTTCCTAAGAAAATCGGTGGTGACACACGGACAGACAGACAGACAGACGGACAAGAGAGTGATCTTATAAGGGTTTCTTTTTTACCTTTTGAGGTACGGAACCCTAAAAATAAGAATAGCCTATGTTCAAAGGACATTTGGTATACTATGGTGTCCAAACCCCCCCCCCCCATACTAAATAAAATAGGAATTGCCAATGTTCAAAGGATATTTGCTGTGCCATAATAGGTTTCTAAAACTCACACAACGGTAAAAAATTGCTGTATTAGTACATCGAGACTGAGAAAATCGTCTACAAACATTCTTTTAGTCAAAATTCTACTATTTATAAAACAGTTTTTTTTTTACATCCAGGCGTTCTAAAATGATATTCACTTCAACTTATAAATTACGCCAATCTTATTCAGAAAACTTTGAAGAAGTTTGATATTCTTAAATTATCCTCCTCATGAGTATTATAAATAATTGACGAAGATATAAAATCATTCAATTTATTTTTTTAATTATTTAAGAACATACTTTTTTGTAGTTTTGGGATTTCTATTTTTTTCTTAGATCAAAAACCATTCAATTGCGGTGATACAAAGGACATAATGGTATTAAAAAAAAAAGTTGCTGAAAAGATTTTTTTTAATTAATTCGTCATCATCATTATCAACAGCCTTTAATAGTCCACTGTTGGACACAGGCCTCTTTTGGAAAATAGGTTTTGACCTACTATATCTAGTTAGACGGGTTGCTATAAGGTCTTTATCAAGTTTTCCTTCTCTTTACAGTGCTGATGTCCTGCGTAGTTTGCTCCCTTTTTAGCTAAATAGAGTTTTAAAATTTACAGACAGGATTTTCTTAGGTAACTGACTTAAAAACATTATATCCATATTAAAATAACACTACATCAATATTAAAGGTTTGTAAGTTATTTTTATCCAACTTTTACATATGGACTATAAAAATGGAATACGTAAATTTAAAAATAAAATTATTACCTTTTAAAATTCACGCTATAAATTAAGTCTCTCTTGAAAAGGGTTAGCTATAAATTAAGCACGTAAATAACCTTTTATATCTTAAGTTTATTTCGTTATACGCTAAGGGCATCCAATCAATAATGTAACTGATACTGCACCCTTTATACCGAAAGAGAGTTGAATGATCGAAGACTTTCGTAGAATATATTGACATAACAAGACATCGGCAAGAATAAATCTAATATTAAAGAATAAAGTGCTTTCTTCAAATGTACCAAATATTGATTGTTTGATGTTTATAATTTATTGGCTATTCCCTGGTGTTTATGTAATGTAGATAATGTTTTAGACTGTAAATTTCAATAAATGCTCTGTGTAATCATCATCATCAGCCTTTCGCAGTTTACTGCTGGACATAGACCTCTCCCATTGCACGCCACTTAGATCGATTTTGGGCATCCAGCTCCTGCCAGCCATCTTGCGCAAATCGTCACTCCACCTGGTCTGTGGGCGTCCTACACTACGTTTGCCGAGACGCGGTCTCCACTCAAGAACTCCTTTTCCCCAACGGTTGTCGGTTCTGCGGCTAATATGGCCAGCCTACTGCCACTTCAGCTTGCTGATCCGGTAGGCTGCGTCCAATAGAAGAACAATAATGAATGCGTGTTGAAACTTGTGTTGCCTTGTTGAATCTCTACAGAAATGGAGGAATATTGGTTCGAATTGTAACAAAAACTGCAATGGCTGGCCCAGATCAAACGCCGCAATAGTGCCCTAAAGCAAAGCTTACAAAAGTAATGGTAACTGTTAGGTGGTCTCTTCATGATATTACTCACTATAGCTGTCTCAGGTCTGGTCAAGCAATAACAGGTGAGGTTTACTGTTCCGAATTTCGAGCAATGATGGCGAAACTAGCAGTGAAACAGCCCCAACTCGTGAATCGATCTTCTCCATTATTGCTCCATGATAACGCAAGATCTCACACTGAACGAGAAACCATTGTAACTCTATAGAAGCTGTAGTTAGAAACCATACGTTATCCTCAGTACTCGCCAGACCTTACTCCAACGGACTACCATTTTTTTCGTGATTGTCAAAATTTTCTGTGATAATTTTTTTTTTTCCAGTAGGCAGTACAAAATGCTTTCTCACAGTTTGTCGAAACTAGACACAGTTTGTAGACTTTTTTTGGGTATTTCTTGCCCTT